GTTTTTTTTTCTACTTTATTAGACATATTTGGACTGATGTGACTTATAAGGTGGTGCAATGTGTACGACAGAAAATACGGTACATATAAAGTTATGTCTAGAAAATTTGCTTATACTTTCTGGATCTCTTCCTTTGCTTTTTTTTTTCTTCTCTTGTTCTCTACCCACAGTGCATTGTATTTGCTGTTACTGTTTTTAATAGAAAATATATTTAAAAACAAAGACACCCCTCATTTCCAAGCTGTTTGCTAGGAAACTATATTGTGTATTTTTGTTTTGGTTAATTTTTGTAATAAACAGTTATTTACCTTTATTAAAGCACAGGGCTTCTAAAAGTGAGCCAGGTTTCTGTTGAACTCTTTCTGCGGTCCAGACAAGACAGAGGGATGTGACGGTCCGAGTTCTGAAGCTCAGCTTTAAGTTGGGAGTTGAAGAGCAAGCACAAGTGAGACAAAACTTGAGACAAGCTGAGCAGAATGCTGGATGATGGGTTCAACTTGGATTAGGCCCGGAGAAGCCGTCGCCCTCTCCGTGTGTCCTGCAGCCACAGCAGAGCCGTGAGCCGAGCCAATCCAGTCCAGTCCCTCCAGACGGAGACGGGATCGGTTTATGGGAACAGTGGGATCAGAATGGGAGCACGCTCTTCACTGTAGACGATAGCATCTGCCTTGTTAAGTAGTTTTTCTTGTTCCTGTGTAGTAGAATAACTGAGCAGGCTTGGGCCTAATGCAATCTGAAAACAGAGCGCTGCAAATTTGCCTGTTTAAATCAGCTGTATGCACACACACCTCTTTATCCACTGAGTGCAGCAAATGAGATTTAAGAAGTGTGAGGCTGCTGTGTGGGAGAAGGCGCAGCCACTTCTTGTGTTCTTCTGTGCGCGTGCACGTGTGTGTGTGTGTGGACTGAGCTGAGCAGAATATAACTGCAGCTTTTGGAAATCTCCTGACTGGAGCTGAAGCTGTCAATCTCCTGCACTCTGCTCCAGTTTTCTACTTAACACTTTTTGAATTCAGATCATCTTTATAAGCAGAGGCGAGTTTTCTGCTGAAAGGTTTAGAATTTAATACCTGCATTTTATTGAAGGGAACGTGGTGGCAGTAGTTCAATGAAAGACAGCGTTGAAACATAAAAAAAAACTAAAGCGTTTCTTAAAGGAAGTAACGTATTTTCTGGCGTATAAGTCGCATTTATTATGCGTTTATTTAATGGTCAAAACATCTTAATTTTGCCTGGGCGGCACTGTGCCATCCATCCATCCGTCCATCCATCACGGTCAGAGCCGCTACGTTCCTCCGCCTGCACCAGCTAAGTGAAGCGAGAGGACTCGCTGTTGCAGTTCTTAGAAATTTAAAGTGTTAGTCAAAATTGTGTTACGAATATGGGAAAAAAAAAAACCTTCTACAAGTCGCAGGATGGACAAATCTATGCAAAATACTGTTACTTACACTCCGGAAAATACGATCATCTTGCTTGCCAACGTTTCAAACGAATATCTAATTCGATCTGTTTGTGCTCATTATATGTGTTGGGGATGACTCTCAGCTACTGCCACACCAAAATTTAGCTCAACGTCTGTAAAAATAGAGTTATAGCTCTTTTTGTGCTTAGGTTGGTTAGCTGTGGTGTCCATACTGAATCAGATTGACTCCAGCAGATAAACAGTTGTAAAAAGTTTATGAGTAATATTTTCTGAAAGTTTCATTAATGTCCGAGCAGTGCTTCGTGAGATATTTTGCTAACAGACAGGAGTACGCCAAACCTTTAAATGAATATTTGCACCTGCTAAATCAAATAAGTGTTACATGGCAGCTAGAGTAAATTAGAACAACCGCGTGAGGGTTTTGCTTCTAATTTCCAGGTGTTTTAATGTCTTCTCCCTCCTAACCTTGAGATTTCTGCAAGTGTAGCACATGTCAAAGTTATTTATCAATATTCAGTCTAGAAATAGCCAACACCACTGCAGCATCGGCGCGCTGCTGTAAGGGGTGTCTAACCATCTTTATTAGGCTAAAAAAAGTCTGCCTGAAGAGGTCAGAAATTCTGTCCTCCCTGGCAGGAGCAGCTTGGCAGCCTTGCCAGGAGAGATGTGTCACACTGGAAATGTCAGGGGATAATGTGCTATCAACGGGACCTATATGTGAAAGGTCAGCAGCGCTCCTCCTCAGCTGAGGAGACTGGACCGTCTAAAGCAGGAGGCCTGCGTCGAGCAGATTAGAGGCGATACGATGAGGCAAAAATGTCACCATACTTCTCCACTTCTGCTGCACCCTGTCAACACCTTGGACTGCTTCTTTAAATACACCCAACACCTTGTAGCTGGACTGAGATGCAGAAGAAGACCTGTTGCACATGTACGCCCACCAAGTGGCTGAAGGAAGTATCTGGTGGTGCGATAGTGGAACGTTTGGTATCGAGCTGATACCAAGTGAATGCAGAGCCCAAATCATCAATACTCAACTGATGCTTTTAAATGATCTGTAGAGTTTCACATCAGGAAAGACGTTTGACGTGTTTCATCGTCAATAAGTTAATCCATTTTTCTTCCGTATGTTTTTCGGCATCTTTCTTTGTTCTACAATTTTTTTACTATCTTAACAAATCGTAGATCAAAACATTCAGCTCTTTCAGGACAATCTTGTTATGACTTCTGGTATCAGTGCAACTTTAGCTTTTTGAAATATTTAGCCATTTCTACCATTTTTTTCCTCATAGAAAATGAATTGAGCTCATTTTTACATCCTTCAAATCTTTAGACGTGTTTACAACCTTTTATTGCTCCGTTCACATTTTGTTCTGCTTCAGCTTCTTTCAGCTTCCGTGTGAAAATTTAAACATTTTTTTCAGCTAATTTCAGCTGGTTTTTTTAAGCTGTTTTGTGCTCCTTTCATATTCTTTCTGCTAACTACGACATTTTTGTGCTTCTTCTAGTTTCTTTCTGCTAATTTCCGCTTGTTATGCTCCTTTCAGATTATTTATGCCAGTTTCAGATTTTTTCTACCATTTCAGCTACTGTTTACTGTTTTATGCTAATTTTAGCCTTTTCAGCCAATTCCACATTTTTTGCACTCATTTTAACTTTTTTCAACCTAATTCAGCAAAAATGTGCTCTCTCCACTTCCTTTTGGTAATTTGAGCTTCTTTCTGCCTTTGCAGTTACTTTTCAGCTGTTTTTTGGTCATTTCAGCTTGTTTTCAGGTAATTTCCACTTTTTTGTGCTATTTTTTATTCTTTCAGCCTACAGTAATTTGGCAAATTTGTTTTTTCTACTTTATTATGCTAAGTGAAGCTTGTTCTACCTTTTCAGCTACACATTTGTAGCTAATTTTAGCTGTTTTCAGATAAATTCAAGTTTTACTTGGGTATTTCGGCTACTTTCAGCCTACCGGTAATTAACTTATTTCTTCTGCTTTCAGCTTGTTATGCTCTTTTCAGCTTTTTTCTGCTAGTTTCAGCTTTTTCTGCTATTTCAACTAATTTTTAGCTCTTTTGTGCTAAATTTTGCTTTTTTGTGGTTAATTCAACATTTTATAGCTAATTTTAGGTCCTTCCTCTTCCTTCTGGTAGTTTAAAGTTCTTTCAGTCTTTTCAGCTACTTTTCAGCTATTTTTTTTTTTGCATATTTCAGTTTTTTTTTTCCAGATTTCCTAATTTTTGTGCTTATTTAAACCTATTTTAGCTTTCTTCTGCTAACGTAGACTTTTTCTTCCATTTCAGCTACATTTCAGCATGTTTAATTACTGTAATTTCAGCTGTTTTCAGCAAATTTTTCAGCAATAAGCATTCACACTGCATTTTCGCAGGAAATGCAATTTCTCTAGTTTGATTATATTTTCATGACTTTTTAAAGTAACTTATTTTCACTTTTCACTGACAATTGGTTTTCTTTTTTCTATCTTTTGTATGTTTTTTGCATTTAACTATTCTGCATACTTTGTGCCACTTTAGCCATTTTTATATTGAAACATTCAGCTCACTCTAAGGATTGGTACAATAACTTTTGCTGTTTTGTTAAAATACAAAATATAACAAAATGTTTAACTGTATTTTCCAAAAGTTTCCCTCTAGGAGTATGTCGAGATTTCTTTAACGTCTTTAAATACACTGAAGTCTGCTACATTCTTTCTCCTTATGCTACTTTAACTTTTCAGCTATTCTGGCACTTTTAGCTTGCCTTTTGCTACTTTCAGCTTTTGCCAAGCTTTTAGCTACTGTCTAGTTAGCATTTTGCTACTTTTAACTTCTAATTAGCCTTGTTATACTTTCAGTTTGCCTTTTGACATTTTAGCAAGTAACAAGCCTTTGGATATTTTTAGATTTTAACTTGAATTTTGCTACTTTTTTTTTTTGGCTACCTTCTTGTTTCTTTTAGCTTTTATCTTGTCTTTTGCTACCTTTAGCTTCTAACCAGTGATTTTATGGTTTTCATATAGACTTTAGCTACTTTAAACTTTGATTTTAGCTAGTTTTTATCTTTTATTTAATTAGCACTCTGCTTCTTTTAGCATTTAGCTAGTGTTCTGCATCTTCTAGCTGCTACCACTCCATTACAGGTATTTCAGCAAACATCAGTAAAGTCATTTAGCATTTAAACAGCTTTTTCACAGCACGTGTAAGTTCTCTGGTTAGCTGATGTATTTGTTTATTTATCTTTTGCTTTCCACTGCTAATTAGCTTTTTACAAATGCAGGATGGATTTTGGGCACAGTTTCTAGCCAAATAAATAAAGATATATAAAACTGTAACAAACCACATGGGCAAAATGTAAACATAAATTTGTGGGTGGGCCCACGGTGTGTACGATGTAGGCAGGGCTGGCATCAAAATAATGGCAGGAGTTCAGTTTTGCAGCCTGAGCACATGAAAATAGGGCGTGATTGTCAAATTTTACATATTGGTTCAAGTCCAGATTGAGCCTCCAAAATAGTAGCTCCTAGTCCTGTTAATTTTTATTTATTAATTTATTTATTTAACCGTCTCGATCATCTGTTTGTTTCCAGAGGGCAGCGACTACAGCGATGCCGATGTTCTCCCCGACTCTTTCCCGTCTGCACCGGCAGAACCGCTGCCAGAGTTCCTGCTAGAACCAGAGAATGGTTTCATTGTGAAGAACCGACCGGTCCAGCTGCGCTGCCGGGCGTCGCCGGCCACCCAGATCTACTTCAAATGTAACGGAGAGTGGGTGAATCAGAATGATCACATCACCAGAGAGAGCCTGGATCAGAACACAGGTACATGCACACGCACACACACAGAGTAATGTCACCTTGTATTTCAGAGATAAACATCATACCTAATTACCAACATCATTTTCAACTATAAAATCCATTAGGTCCTTTAGGACTTTATGTGCATGTTAACTGCTTTTGGCATGGAGCCAGTGCATAAATTAAACATGCTATGAAAACTATGCTTCACTGATCCGTCCCCCTCCCTCCTTATGATTTTACCGTACGCAGGTCTGGTTGTGCGTGAGGTGGACATCTCCGTGTCCAGGACCCAGGTGGAGGAGCTGTTCGGACTCGAGGACTACTGGTGCCAGTGTGTGGCCTGGAGCTCGGCCGGCACCACCAAGAGCAACCGCGCTTATGTTCGCATCGCCTGTTAGTATCAAAGCTCTGTGCGCGTGCACGTGTGTGACTGAGAAAGGTTTAAAGGCAGCAGGAGATGCAGGAAAATAAAACGGTTTTGAGTTTTTAGCTTGTCGCATGTGTCAGCTTAAGTGTATATGCAAATAGATTTTTGGAAGCTCTCCGTCTTAGCTAGGGTAATGTGTGGCGCGGGGTGATTGACACGTTGCATGCTTATGAGGGTACGGAGTGGAAAATGTCATATAGAGACAGAGGCTTTTTGCAGCTTTGCATATTATAAGTGTGTGTGACTGAGAAGCAGCACGTCTCCAACTGCTGACATCTCTCGTCGCCTCCTGTAGACCTGAGGAAGAACTTTGAGCAGGAGCCTCTGGGGAGGGAGGTGCGGCTCGAGCAGGAGGTGCTGCTGCAGTGTCGGCCCCCGGAGGGCATGCCTGCTGCTGAGGTAGGTGTCTCTGTCCTTCTTGTTGTCCTCGCCATTCTTCACCTGACTGAAACAACAAAACTCTGCTATTTTTATCTCGCAAAACTGTTTGAGGATCCATCTCAGCTACTACCACATCTATTTTTAGCTCAATATTTTTAAAAACTGAATGGGTTAAGGCAGGCGTCTACAACCTGCGGCTTTGGGGCCACATGTGGCTCTTCAGTCCCTCATCGGCAGCTCTTTGAAGCTTTGACCAAAACTTCATGAAATTTACTTGTGTTGATTTTTACACCCACAACAGAAAAGGCTAGTTTTGGCAGTTTTCTTGTCAAATGTTTGTAAATTTTTGCCCAATAACTACTAGAAACATAAGATAATAGCTTTAATGATCCAGCAGGAAATTGTTGAAAACTCAAGGAACTTTCTTTCGGCTGCTCCCTTCTTCAGGGGTCACCACTTGTATGAAAGATTTGGCAATTTGTTTTATGCCGGATGCCTTTCCTGACACATCCTGGGATCAAACCTGCAATTTCAGGATTACAAGACCACGACACTGGCCACTGAGCTACCGCAGCCCCACCAGACATTTATTTATTATTCCTCACATACGTCGCCTGCAGAGTTCAGTGTTTTAATTTTTATAATGGATGGATGGTGTAAACTATAATTATTTTCCTCCTTTGGTCTTTTTTTTGTCTTAAAATGTAAAAATATTAATAAATGTTAAAATTCATTATATAATTTTAGTTTTATAATGTCACTCCCATTGGCCAGAAAAGCCCCACTCCAACAAACTCCGTGGCCCATGGGCCATCAGTTGATAATCACAGTTTGTAGCAGGTTTTGTGGCTCCACCCGTTTTATTTAGTGAGCGGAGAGGCAGAAATGGTTCTATTGATCAAAAAGGTTGCAGACCTCTGGGTTAAGGCCAGATTTGTCATTTTTAAATTCAGTTAGCTGTCCACACAAAAAGTAGTTATACATCCAGTGATTACTTTCTGAAAGTTCAACCAGCGATTTATGTGATATTATGCTAACAGAAACCCCAACGCACGCAGACACAGATGATAATTCTGTAAATGATCAAAAAGGCTTCCATTCAACATTGTTTCGTGTTTTAACGGGGCTGCTCTGAGTGTACAATAAATCAAACGGGCTCATTTTTCTCTGACAAAAGCAAATCAAATCAGGAGGGAAAACAAAATGATTCCTGCATGCAGATTTTTGTCATTCAAGAACAATTTGCCCAGCTGTAAGAGTTTCTTGGAGTAGCTTAGTATCACGTCTATTGTGTTCCATGAAAAAAGCAGTATGAAAGCATAATAAGCGCAGTGGTGGCTGGCCAATAGAGGGCGCTAGGGCGCCACCCCACCATTCACATCATATTACCTTGAAGATGTTAAAAAAATTAAATAATAAAAATAAAATATTTCAAAATATATGTATATATATATATTTTTTTTTGTGTAAGATAAATATTTTATAGTTAATGATGAGTAAGGTTGTTTCTTTCAAAAACGTTGTCGCTGATTGATGATGTGTTTTCGCTCTGGGGGCGCAAGAATCTTTGCCCATAGACTCGTTAAAAGTTGTACATGTGCAGTTAGCTCCTCTTCATTACAAGATATAAGACTATTCTGGGCGCAACTCTCCTGCGCCCAGAGTATGGGCGCACAGTACGAATTGTGCTTCCGATCCCCTAACAGATTGTGCAGTGACACTTTTTAAAAAATCTTTATTTAAGCAAATGGCAAGTATACAACAAACTAACAAATGAAGTGTACAGAAGAACACAGCACTTATATGAACAAACAACCAGGGCTGTTAATTAGACACATACAAATACATGCAAAAATTTACATGTACAGTAGAGCTTGTCCTATATAATAATAATAATAATTATTATTATTATATATGTGTGTGTGTGTGTGTGTGTGTGTGTGTGTGTGTGTGTGTGTGTGTATGTGTGTGTGTGTGTATGTATGTGTCTATTTTTGAGATACAGCCCACCCTGGAGAAAACTCCACCAGCCGGCACTGAATAAGAGAATAACAGAAAGGATATGAATATGTGGCTTCAAAGTGATTTTGACATGTATTAATAATTGTGTAGCTCGCCATGATTTGATAGAAAGTTGTGTTGCTCTTTTCTTTTGAAAGAATCATAAACTTTCACAAGGGTTTGATCACCAGTGTGCACTGTGACGTTTAAATCCCTGCAGGCTGATTGTGTTTACTGAAAGGCGCCATGTGTGTACGGTGCTGTCATGCTCATGCATAAACGCCTCCTAAATTATATGAAGGAACATCAGCCGAAGATATTAACGATTAAAAAACAGGATTAATTTCTAAGCTCTATAGTTGCTTCTCTTAATAAGTACCTTGTTTATTGTTGCAACTTCATATTCATTACAACATAAACAATGTTGGTGTAGATTCTTGTTAATAATCCTGTTTGCGCCTTTCTTGGATTTTTTTTTTTTTTTGTCTTCGTAATCAACTTCCTGGTCTTTATTTCAGCGGTGTGCGTATTTCTCCTTTTGCATCCTTCAAGGTGGACTGGCTGAAGAATGAGGACATCATAGATCCGTCGCAGGACTCCAATTTCCTGATTACCATTGATCACAATCTGATCGTCAAACAGGCCAGGCTCTCGGACACAGCTAACTACACGTGCGTGGCTCGGAACGTGGTGGCGAAAAGGCGGAGCAGCACAGCGACGCTCATCGTTTACGGTAAAGCAAGCTGAATTTTTCAGCTCTTCCTTCTCATGCTCCACACATGAGACGTAAACCTCATCCCATTTGTGTTCGAAGATAGTTTTGATTCAAAACTATCGAAATGTTGGTTTTCCTGGGATTTTTGGACTGTGGGCTACTAGAATCATCCCTGTGTTCCTTTGTTTAGCAGTTCACAATGTCGCGCGATGAACCGATCAACTCAAACTGTACATTTTAGCAGCTTTAAACTTCTAATTTTAGCTACAGTTGCCGCCAGGAGTTTGCATCCACTAATCATAGGCATAAAATCCATATAAATATTTGACTTTAAATTATTTATACCATTTTTTTCCATGGTGTTATGATTCATAAAATAATTGGGGGCACAAGTTAGAATTTATTGTGAGCTTTCTCTAATCCACCAATACAGGCCTAAATACATCTGCTCCTACTAATATTTGGTTAATTGTTCTTTTGCAAGTTGCACTTTGATCACATTTTTTGTGTGTCCATCAACAAGTTTGGATATTAGACCACTCTTTCCCGAGTTCACTTAAATTGGTTGGTTTCTTGCAGGGATCCGGCTTTTAAGGAAATATAACACAAATGTTCAATTGTACTGAGGTTGAGTTTTTGGACAGTCATTCCAGAAGCTTAATATTAGCTGATTTATTTATTCAGAAACCAGTTCTGATGTGTGTTTAGCTTAATGCGCCTGTTGGAACACCCACCCATGCACGGAAAGAACAATGCAAACTCCACCCAGAAAGGCCCCCGGACCGGGATTTGAACCAGGGTAACCTGCTCGCTGAGAGGCAGCAGCTCCACCAGTTGCGTCACCGTGCTGCCCTAGCGGCGTTATATTTATTTTATTATTTATATCAGTGTTTTTCCCTGGATAACTTGTCATAACTTGCCATGGTGGGGTGCTCATCTCGTCCGCGTGATTTGGGTGGGGGTGGGAGGGCGTGTTGACGGAGTGTACAGACCGTTTTTGAGTGAGGGGCGGGGTTTCGGCGTGAGGGTTCAGCATGAGGCAGTATGAGTGCTGCCTTTAGCTTTTTAGCTAGCATGCCTGTATTTTTCGCAGGCTGGCTTAGCGCTACGTCAATGCCAATTGGGGGTATGGGGGTGTCGTCTGAGCTGCGCACTGTTTGTACTGACAATTTTCAAGTGGTTGGAAGTGGGGGGGTTCAGTGTGAGAGTTCAGCATGAGGGAAGAGTCAGCATGGGCACTGCCTTTAGTGTTTTAGCTAGCGTGCCTGTATTTTTCGCAGGCTGGCTTAGCGCTACGTCAGTGCCAATTGGGGGTATGGGGGTGTCGTCTGAGCTGTGCACTATTTGTACTGACAGTTTTCAAGTGGTTGGGGGGGGTTCAGCATGAGGGAAGAGGCAGCATGGGCGCTGCCTTTAGCTTTTTAGCTAGCATGCCTGTATTGTGTGCAGCTAGCTTAGCACTACGTCGCTGCCAATGGGTTTTGACGCGCAGTTCGGTTCAGTAGGCGGGGCGCCCTGCTTGTATAACAGTAGGGGAAACACTGTACAGTATATATTTAAGGCTTTATAAACTCTTCCCACACACTTGTTAAACTTTCCCACTCTCTTATAAACACTTCATATGCTCTTAAACACTTTGGTGATCGCGATGAAGATGATGAGATGAATGTACAGTAGTGCACAGCATGTACACTCAATATAAAAAACTGGGTTTAAAATACCCACGATATAGTGAAGCTGCAAAAAGTGAACTGCAATATAGTGGGGGACTCCTGTATACAGTTTGAAAACCTCTCTGACTCCTCCAAACACACTTTTTGTCACTGTGACCAAACAGCTCAACCTTTTTCTTGTCTGATCATCAAGCCTTTCTCTAGGAGGCATTTGGATCGTCCGTGTGGGCAGCTGCAGATTTCAGTCGAGCTTGAAGGTGTCACTTACTCCATTAGTGTTCCAGCGGTATCCAGTTCATGATAGTCTTGACCCTCAATGGATTTTGATCAGTTTCCTTTTATCTAAGGAGGACAGATGAGCATTAATCAATCCAGTGAATGCCGTCGAACGCATTCTTTTTATGCTGAAAACTGAAACCACATGCTGCAAATAATCACAGTCACGGATGAGAAGCTAAAAGGCCTCGGCCTTGTCAAGCTAAAAGACATTTAGAACTTTCAGCACTATTTATTAAAGGATTTAGTGGAATGGATGGATGTTTGGCTTTTGTGTATTTTTAACCTCGACTGGATTAGAGAAAATCCTAAATAAATTCTCACTTGTGCTCCCGGACTCGTTCCATCCTGGGAAAAGACAATTCAAACAAATTGTTAAAAACCCTAAATCTAACCAACGTTCATGTCCGCGATGACTGGTTGCAAACTTCTGACCATAAATGTGGGGATCAGGCGAACGAGATGCATGTACGTTTGGACGACTGAAAGTCTTTCCCTGTCTGTGTGTCTCTGTGTCAGTGAGCGGAGGTTGGTCTTCTTGGACTGAGTGGTCAGAGTGTAACGCTCGCTGCGGGCGGGGCTGGCAACGGCGAACACGCAGCTGCACCAATCCAGCCCCTCTGAATGGAGGAGCCTTCTGTGAGGGCCCGCCAGTGCAGAGAGTAACTTGCACCACAATGTGCCCAGGTAAAATAACAAAAACAGGGTGTACTCATACGTTATTGAACATGTTCAGGTAAAGTGGTAATGGTGCAATATATGGCAAACAGCAGAGTGAAAAGGAACGTTTTTAAACTTTTTGTCCCTCTGGGGCTCTTAATATCTTGATCTCACTAACTTGGGAAAGAAAAATTAACTTTTAACAGAACATTTTTTTTCCTAATTGTTGCTGCTAGAGGAAGGAACACAGCACGTTTCAACCATGAATCATACCAATTATTTGTTTATTTTTTTTGCCTTGCTGTGAGTCAGAGTACCCTGACTCTAAAAGCAGCAAACTGCAAAAAAATGGAGACACTTCCAGCCATCACATCACACACCATGAGAATGTCACGCCCAATCTCCCTCTTACCTGCACTGATGGAAGGATCGAGCGCTAAAATGACTCACCTCTCTGCTGTGATTCCAGTGGACGGAGGCTGGACGGAGTGGGCAAAGTGGTCCGCCTGCGGGACGGAGTGCACACACTGGCGCAGTCGCGAGTGCCAAGCCCCTCCACCTATAAATGGAGGAAAGCATTGCAGTGGCAGCATGATGGAGAGTAAGAATTGCACCGAGGGGCTGTGTGCAAAAAGTAAGTCTTACTATTTATTTATTTTGATGGAGCGATCATGTTTTTGCCTGTGTGTGTGTGTTTGCTCACACTTTAAGCAAAATATCTCATGAAGCAGTGGACAGATTAAAATAAAAGTCTTAGAATATAATGGATCTTTACAGCTGATTTACATTTTGGAATCAACCTATTTCAAGATGGCTGCCACAGCCAAATGGGTATATCTTAGCCAGTTGTATAGATTTTGAGTTAAAACATAGTCATCCCCATTATATGCTCCAAGCTCCAACATGTTGCTCAAGATCTTTGCGTGAAACTTTTGTTATAACCTTTGTCATCATCCCTGTTTGTCTGTCAGCAAAATATCTCATAAACCACTGGACCAATTTTAATAAAAATGTCAGAAGGTAATCATAAAAAAAAAAAAAAACATCCTTAATTGAATAAATCTGGACGTAATCCCAATTCAAGATCAAGGTTCTTTATTGTCATTCACGTCATATGTGGTGCATGAGGTGGAACAAAACTGTGTACACAGGGTCCCTGTTACATCCAACAAAAGTATAAATTGTAAAAGAAAAACAGTACTAAGATCTAAGATGTGAACAAAGAAATATGGTAAACACTTACCGTATTTTCCGCTGTATAAGTCACATCAGTCCAAAAATGTCTAATAAAGTGGGAAAAAACGTAAATAAGTCGCATCGCTGTGTAAGTCGCATCTATTATGCGTCACCGCTGACCATCCGGAAACGTGGGCTGGTGTTGTGCCAAAAATCGATTGACTGCCAAAATGGCGGCCGCAGGAGCATGCACAGGATGACTTGTAACAAGAATTTAACAAGATTAACACTTAAAAACAATTATTTGTTTGCTCAAAATTATAGCAAAGGTGTGTCTCAGTTGAACTTTTCCTTAATAAATGCACTTTAATGGTCAAATCAGCTGCATTTTGCCTGGGCAGCGCGGAGAAATGCAGCTGATTTGACGTTTGCTCCAGGAGTCTCGGAGTAAGATGAAGGTGGCCAGTATGGCAAGCCAAGTGTCTTATTAATAGCCACGTTTACCCATTAATGAGACACTTGGCTTGCCATACAGCTCTATGGCCCTCTAGTGGCTGCAAATGGTAGTGTTTAATATTTTTCATGTCAGAATGAAATTGTCAGATCTCAGCCAAAAATTGGATTATAAATATGGGGTATATTATAAGTTGCAGGGTATTCAAATTTATGCAAAAATCAGTAATATACCAAATAACAGCAGCACAAACGATTCAAGGTGCCCATCAAAACTAATCAGTTTCAGCCAAAAAATACAAAAATGGCCATAAATTTTTAGTTTTACATATATTAAGATACAATGTGTGGTAGTAGCTCAGAGTCATCCTTAACTCATGCTCTGAGCACTGACACATCTCGTAAAATGTGACACAGTCAGCTAACTTGAATTGAAATTCTGTCATGAAAAACAGCGGGCGATATGCATTCCTTCGAAGAATGCTGGCTCTTTGCAGCAACTGTTCGGTAAATGTCAGGTCAGAGTATCAGCTTGACTTCATGTAAAGAAATGCTTCCCTCCGACCTTTAATTTACTGATTCAAAACAGTTCAACTGTCTAATATCTGAAAAACAAATCTATTCACTGAAAACCTGTTTTGTGCTTCAGGTGGTTGTCCATTTGATGATATAAAAAGTCACCAGCAGTGACTTACCGGTAATTAATCATAGTTTGCCATTTTGCTACTTTTCAAAGTTTCTTTTTCCGTCCGTTTGTATGAAACGTTGTCTTCTCCTGGTGTCAGGCCACGGCGCCGCACTGAACGTGCCGAGAGATAAAAGTAAGGCCAAATCAAATCGCAGACGGATGATTCATGAGGGAAAATTTTGCTTCGCAAAGAGAGGCGGCAACTGATCCAGATCTAAAAGGCACAGATGAAAAAAAAAAAGCAGAAGAAAAAGAAAGACGGAGCGAGCGAAGGCCAGAGGAACGGATCGAGTGGGAAGTGAGCGTGACACGGCCAGGTCGAGAAATTAGCATGGGGGACGAGCATATGAGAGTGAGTCAGACTGACGCCCAATGTGCTGCCCGGGACGAGCTGGGAAGAATCCAGCTGACAGTGCATTAAAATCTTAGAGTTGCACGTCCACAAAGGAAGTGAGACGTTCGCGTACGCTCTTAAAATCAAAATCATGCAAGTCACAAACTGACACAACAAAACCAACAGACACTTACAGCCAAACTGTGTTTTAAATCTATCAAACAGAATCTGACATGATTAACCAGACTCGGACCGGACAGTAGACATCTTGGTTCATGAGATATTTTGTTAACGCTACAGACGAGCAAACGCGTGCAAATGCACACAGTCACAAGCAAAAACATTATCGCATTTAGCTTGCAGCGATGAGCGATAAATAAGCATTTTATGTTTCCACTGTGAGTTAAAATGATTATTCTGTGGTCACAAGATCAAATGATGATCAAATAATTGGAGCTCCCTTCCCTCAGCTCCTTTCACGAAACGCCGCAGTCGTAAACGTAAAAGGCTTTGAGACATCGTCTTCGTAGCTTCCTGCTAGGTTCTAATTACGATTGGACGAATGGCAAACTCAGGAAAACCATTCGGTGTTTTGATGATGCTATGGAGAAAAGGTGATTTGATTTGAGAAGCTGCTAAGTGACACAATCCTGAAAGATGGTTTTGATATTCTTCAAATGTTCAGTTAGGATTCACACAAGTGTTACTGGGAAATAACTGCTTCCATCAGGCACAGTGAATATTTTTCATGGGGTTAAGGTGATAATCTACACTGCAGGGCGTGTTTCTGTCTTTTTAGGCTCCACATGGGCCACACAAATGCAAAGGTCCCTGTTCATTTTCAAAACAGTCCTTAAAGAGAGTTCAGAACTTTTGAAGTAAAATTTTGTGGAAAGAATAGCAACAAAAAATAATCTTACCTGTTGTAGGTACCGTATTTGCCACCATATAAGTTGCATCAGTCCAATTATATCTAATAAAGTGGAAAAAAACATAAATATATAAATTGCATCTATTATGCGCGTCACCGCTGACAACCCGGAAATGTTGGCTGGTGTGGTGCCAAAAATCGATTGGCTGCCAAATGGTGGCCGTGGGAGCGTGCATGGGAGGACTTTAACAAGAATTTAACAAGATTAACATTGTAAAACAATTACAAAGTATTTGTTTGCTCAACTTTATAGCAAAGGTGTGTCTCAGTTGAACTTTTCCTTAATAAATTAATTTTAATGGTCAAATAAGCTGAATTTCAAAGCCCATTTGCGGAAGCACTCATTGAGAAGACTCACTTTGCATTTCTTCGAAATTTAACAAGATAACCCACCTAAAAATAATTATTTGTTTGCTCGACTTTATGGTAAATATGTGTCTCAGTTGAACTTTTCCTTAATAAATTCACTTTAATGATCAAATCAGCTGCATTTCTCCTGGGCGGTGCAGCGAAATGCAGCTGATTTGATGTTTGCTCCAGGAGTTCTGAAGCGAGACGAAGGTGGCTTGGTATGGCAAGCCAAGTGTCTCATTAATACCCACTTTACCTATTAATTAGGGATGCACAATATTATCGACATGGTTTCGGCCGATATTAGCGTTAAAGTTCAATATCGGAAATCGGCCAGTCCATCAAAATAACTCACCGATATAAAAGGTGCTGTTTTTGTATGGCAACCCAGTGACGAGGATGCCTGCAATGGCAGCACAACGTGATGACGTCACGCGCGCCTACCTGATCTCACGGCGGAGAGGAAAATTCAAAACGTCGGCGGTGCAGAAGTTTGTTTTTTTTGTTAAGGATGTCGGATTCCAAAGATTTTTGGGCTACGATGAGTCTCGCTACATCGTCCCCAGTCTGAGATATTTTTCCGATGTAGCAAGTCATTTCTGACGTCATTGAGAAGCTAATAGCCGATAGCACTTGGGTGAGTTTTACCACAGACATTTGGACGTCAAGTGTTAGCCCCGTTAGCATGATTAGTCTTACGGCACGATGGATAGATAAAAACTTTGAACTTAAAACGGCTGTCCTTCATGCACATGAGAGCAGAGGATCCCACACTGCAGCTATAGGAACCTGGAACAAGCCTCCACAAGTGAGACAGCATCGCAGGTGACTAATGCTAATAAATAACATTTAACACTTTTCATTTAATGTAAGTTAAAGTGCTATGTATATCATATGGCTGTTACTGAATATATGTCACCAGCTCTTACAGCTGTTACACAATTTTTGTAGCAAATAAGCCTAAATAAGAGGGCTATGTTCTGAAAAAGGAAAGTAAATAAAACATCGGATATCGGCCAAAAAAATCTAATATTGTGCATCCCTACTATTAATGAGACACTTGGCTTGCCATATTAGTCGAAGGCCATCTAGTGGCTGAAAATGGTAGTGTTCAATATTTTCCATGTCGGAATGAATGAAATCATCAGATCTCAGTCAAAAATTGGGTTATAAATATGGAGGGGGGAACATAAATACGTCACTTCGCTGTATAAGTCGCAGGCATGCTAATTTACGTTAAAAAAAAAACTGACTTATACAGTGAAAATAACGGTAGCTCTTTGATTGACCTCAGGTTGGAGGAATAGAGTTCCATGTAGAGCTAAAATGGATTGGTAGCATCGTGAAACTACTTTATTCTCAAAGATTTCCAAACAGTTTATCAGTAGAGAAAACATTAAGGCATTGCCGTTAATTTTGCATATCGCAGTTTCTTTGGCAGGAATTTAAGATATTCCTGCTGAGATATTTACAACAGGTAAGATACTAACCCATATTATTTAAATCCCACTTTAACTGATCTGAACAATCCCCTTAACTTAGTTGATTTAATGTAAAAGATACATTAATCACTTTAATATTGATTTTATTGTTTTTCTATTTTTAATAAGTCAACGCATCATTCTACGTTGACACATTCAGCTGATTATTGTGAATTCTGATTTTTTTTTTATATATTATTTACCTGCTGATAATTAGCTTTTTTTTTTACTTTTTGTTTTTATATTGCTTTTTTATGTGTGGTATTTTTCATTTGCATAACAACTAGTCCACCCATTTTATGATTTTGCTTTCTTTTCTTTCTTTTCTTGTTTTTTTTTCTCTTGTTCAAACAGATAAAAAGATCTCAGTTGAACATACAAGCCATCGTAAGTTCACGCTCCCATGACTTCCTTTGACTCCTTCACAGCTTCAGACTGTTTGTCTTTGTGTGTTGTGGACGTGTGTGTCTGTGTGCGCGAGCAGAGTCCTAACATCCGTGTTCGTTGCGTTTTGCGTCGTCTCAGATTAAGTTCAGTGACGACAGTCCTCCTCATCCATCGTCCAGCGTGTTTATAATCGTTTCCTGTGTTGTGTTTTTCAGTTTATGTATTGGCATATTGATCCATAAAATATGAGGTGGCGAAATAAATGATTGGATTTTTAGTTCATCTGTGACTTAGTTTACATTTGCAGTGATGCTAATTCCTGTGTCTTCACGTGGTGTGGACTCAGGGAGGGAGTAGCCACAGTAATGCACCTAATTTGTTCCGTTTCTGGTAATAAGTGCGGACGGCTGTCGGATTCGGTTCAATCTCACCACGTGAGCACCGGAGCTCTCTTCTGCCAGCCGGCCTGCCTCCGGCTTTCTTCTCCTCCACACGTTCTGCTGCTCTGCGGTGTCTTTCACCACTCTTATCTCATTCCTCCTCCCCAACACACTTATAACCCCTCTGTCCTCTCAACAAATCACAACCTTATCTTCCTGCTTCCTGTCTTTTTTTTGCCAAATTGCTTCTCATCGAGCATTCGCTTTCTCTGTACACCCAGCCTGTCTACTCCTTTTTCTCTTTTTTTGTGTGTCTTCGGCCAACTTTGTGTTCTGTCTTCTTGCCTCACTTCTGCTCTGGTGTGACTGGCTCACGTGTCAGGGTTGGGTCAGCGTTGGGGAGTCTGGGCTAAGCAGGCGGTGAAGGCCGGTCAAAGCCGGTCAAAGCCAGTCACCCAGCAAGAGAGAAGGAGGGTGCCCAACAGGGAGCAGGTGAAGTCAGCGCCCAGTTACACCCTCATCCTACTGCCACCTGGGCTTATTTTTAGTGTACGAGTCCATTATGTATGGGGTGCCGTTTGTAAAATTACAGTAAAAAATTAACAGGAATATTTTGTTTCATTTAGCCTTTTATAAGAAAAAAAAAATTAGCTTTTTTTTCCCAAGTCATATTTTCACCGTGTTATTCATACATTTATAAATGACATAGTTCCAAACTAAATTACAAACTAAATATTTAGTTTACAAAGTAAACATTTAACTTGCAAGTTAAATATTTAGTTAGTAAACTAAATATTTAGTTGTAAATTTAATATTGAATTTCCACTCTAAATATTTAATTTGCAAACTAAATATTGAATTTCCAAGCTAAATATTTAAGTTCTAAACATGTAATTCCTAAACTAAATATTTAATTTGCAAACTAAGTGTTTAATTTGCTAACTAAATATTTAATTTGCTAACTAAATATTTAACTTGCAAGCTACATATTTAGCTTGCAAGTTTAATATTTAGGTGAAAGTTAAATATGTAGTTAGCAAATTAAATATTGATTTTGGAAATTAAATGTTTAGTTTCGAAAATAAATATTTAGCTTGGAAATTAAATATTTAATTTATTAATAATAATAATAAATAAAAAAAATAATAGTTTATTTATAAAGACCTTTAAAACAACCACAGCTGCCACAAAGTGCTGTACATATAACATCAAGAACACCTAAATATTTAGTTTACTAACTAAATATTAAACTTGCAAGTTAAGTATTTAGTTTGTAAACTAAATATTTAGCTTGTGAATTAAATATTTAGTTTGGAACTATGACATTTATAAATGTATGAATAACATTGTGAAAATATGACTTTAAAAAAAAACAACCTTTTTTTTCTTATTAAAGGCTAAATAAACCAAAATATTGATGTTATTTTTTGCCTGTGTAACTTTACAAATGATACCCCATAATTATGAGACACTAATTATCTTCAAAATAAATGACTTGCAACAAATAACGTGCTAGAGCAGAGGGCTTCAGTTAAAATTCAGTTTGTCTAAAGAAATGTTGGTCTAGCAAAGGTGAATTATACACCATAGATAAAATATTTAAATTATCTTTTAGTGACAGCCATGCTAATTTTCATCACTCACTGTTTTGTCTTTTCAAGCCTGCACCTCTTTGTGGGCTGGCAGGATGCTTTTCTCTCTACAGAGAGAAATTGTTTGCCAGATGAATTACCATAAATGCTGTAAAATTAAATATTGAAGTAGCAAACTAAGCTAAAACAAACTAGCCACTAGGGAGCACAAGCCAGTGTATCTCTTGTGCCAATCCCAAGCAGGGTAAATGGTGAGGGTTGTGTCGGGAAGGGCGTCTGCTGTGTGCTGTAGGAGTGACAGATGGAGGTGGGAGTGCATCAAGGATCGGCTCCGAGCCCCTTCTTGTTTGCTCTATATGGACCGACTAACACATGTATCAAACTCAAGGCCCTGGGGCCGAAAGTGGCCCTCATTGACATCTTATCTGACCCCCAAAATTTTATTTTAAATGTAAAATACTTTTATCACTTTAATTTTTTTCAGTAATCTTTGATTAAGATGTCAAAAGTGCAACAGAGAACGTCAAATGAGACAAACCAAACTCTTGTTGAGGAACCTGCAACCAAGAAAAGATGTTGGGGATCTAACTCGACTTAATGTAGATTCTGAAACTGGCCCTTAGTTTGAAAAAGGTTTTAATTTTGGCCCCCTTTATGTAAGTGAGTTTGACACCCCTGGACTAACAGATGAGGTCAAGCAGGAGTCCTTGTGGACGATGATGTTTGCAGATGACGTTGTGATCTGTGGTGAGAACAGGGAACAGGTGGAAGAAAACTTGGAGAGGTGGAGGTATGCACTTGAAAGAGGAGGATTTAAAGTCAGCCATAGTAAGAACAGTGGAGGAACAGTGAGGCTACAAGGAGCAGAGGTCACAAAGGTGCAGGACTTCAAGTACTTGGGGTCCACTGTCCAGGAAAATGGGGAATGTGGTAAAGAGGTGAAAAAGAGAGTCCAGGCAGGATGGATTGGATGGAGAAAAGTTTCAGGAGTGATTTGTGACTAAAGGGTGTCAGCAAAGAGCAAAAGAAAAGTTTACAAGACAGTTGTGAGACCAGCTGTGTTGTATGGTCTGGAGACAGAGACAAGGACAAAAAGACAGGAGACAGAACAGGAAGTGGCAGAAATTAAGATGTCGAGGTTCTCCTTAGCAGTGACAAGGATAAGATTAGGAATGAGATCATCAGAGGTACAGCACTGGTTGAACAACTGGGAGATAAAGTTAGAGAGACCAGACTGGGATGGTTTGGACATGTCCAGAGGAGGGACAGTGGGTATATTGGTAGAAGGATGTTAGAAATGCAGCTGCCAGGAAAAAGACAAAGAGGAGATCTATGGATGCAGTAAGAGAGGACATGGAGGTAGATACCATACCATACCATACCAATTTATTTATAAAGCACTTTAAACAGTGACAAAGCACATCAAAGTGCTGTACATGGACAAACAGAACAAGCACATAGCAACAGATTACATAACAGGACACCAAAAAGTAGAAACCAACAAAAACAATAATGGATAACAACAACAACCACAACATGATGGAGATGGAGTGAGGACAGAGTGAGATGGAGGAGGATGACTCGCTGTGGCGACACCTGAAGAGGGAAACGCAGAAAGAAGAAGAAACTAAGCTACAACAGAGATTAATTTATTGTATCTCCAGAAGCTGACAGACTGTCTGACAGCATGGAGGTCATTTTCAGGATTTTTCTGCAAAAGAAACAGCATTCCTTGAAGGAATACACATCCCTCGCTGCATTGCATGCCAAAGTTTTAAACACAGATTTTGTTAAAACTGTTGATGTTGATTTGTCAGCATCATTTAGCTGTGCTGACCGTTTTAAATGGAGTTAACTCCAAAAGTTAATCAGTTGTAAATGTACATCCAGCGGTTACTTTCTGAGAGTTTCATTAACGTTTGTTTTATTTTTATTTATTTTTTTAAATGAACTTTTACGTGAACACGAGCAAAAACATGGCCCACCTTCGCATTTCGATAAGATTTCACCGCAGACCTAACTATTTTTAGCTGAATGTGCAATCACTGCCTCTATGAGCTTAAAGTGATATCAATACCGTGACATTAAGCATAGCTGCTCTTTATTCTTATAATAAACACATGAACGAATCAGTAGTTTCAGCTTGAGCTTGCTCTGCTGTGATAACTTTAAATTTGTGTCACTGTCGTGTCTTGTCTCATTTTCTGGACTTTATGTCGTGCTGACCGTCTCCGTCCTCCTTTCAGCCATGGCTCCAGGTATGGGTGTAGCAGTGTACATCGGCCTGGTGGTGGCTTTGCTGCTGAGTGTCATAATGGTGCTCTGCGTGGGCGTGCTGGCGTACCGTCGCCGGTGCCGCCATCTCCACGGAGACATCACAGATTCCTCATCAGCCCTTACCGCAGCGTTCCACCCCGGCAACTACAAGCCTCCAAGACAGGGTGAGCTCCCACACTTTAAAGCACACAAACGTGCTGTTTTATCTTTTAATAGGTGGATTTTTGGTTATAGGATTTTCTTCTGAATACTTATTCAGTCGTGTTACTTATCTATCATGTTGCTCCATATGATCAGACCATAAATTAAATCCCACGTACCTTTATCTCCTCTCAGTCTACTCCCCGTTCCTCTCCCCACTACATTTTTTACATTTAAAGGCATTTGTCTGGGTGTCCTTTCCCTTGCTCGTGCCATCAAATATTAATTAGCAGCATTAATCCATTTCACTCGTGTCTCTCTGAGCACTTACCGCCCTGCCGGTGTCATTTCTCCTGATAAGAGGAGACTTTTTTTTTTCTCTGCTGTCTTTTTCACAGATATCCCCCACCCTCTTCATCCCTCAGCTCCACCTGATCTGACAGCCACAGCAGGCACCTTTCGGGGTCCTCTCTTCTCCCTGCCGCAGGGAGTCAACGACAGCCCCCACAAAATCCCCATGACCACCTCTCCCTTGCTGGACCCGCTCCCCAGTCTTAAAATCAAGGTGTACAACTCCTCCACCCTGTCCTCCATGGAGCTGCCAGCCGACATGTGCCTGGGTGACGGGGAGATCCTCAGCCTGAAATCTGTGGGCACCGTGGGGAGAGAGCGGGACTATCACAGCCACACACTGTCCAGAGAGCCGGGCTTGAGCACCAGCGCCACCTTGGGAAGTCTGGGTGGACGCCTTACCATCCCCAGCACAGGTAAAAACCTCAGGGGTGCCGACAGAAAGTTTCAAAGGGGTGACCACGTAATCTTAGCACACCAAAACCAAAATCCATAAGAAAATTTCAGGAGATTTTTTTATGCTGTGGTCATATTTAAATTATCAGGAACAATAATACAACATGGGAGTTGGTGAAGCAGCTTCTGATTTAAGGCTACTTATTTTGTCCCCTGACAGTTCATAATTAAACAGGACAGTAAATTACTAAACTCAATGAAATGTGTCATCTCCTCGCATTAAATCATATTTATATCTAAAGGTATTTGTTAGATTTTTCTACCTGGATTATTGAGCATGCATCAAGATATCTAAAGGTATCATTTTTCTTTTTGGAAAAAGTAATTATTTCCCGCCACATTGAAGATCAACGTTTTCAACAATTCAATTGAGTTTGTTTATAAAGCAACAAACTACAACAGAAGTCATCTCAGGGCACTGAACAGAAGCATTCATATTTATAAAAAAGTAAGTTAATGACATTGTTTATCTGAGGAGCAGACTGCTTTGAGTTTAACTCCATCACAGAACTCTCATCTTGAGCAAGCATGAAGGAGACAGTGGAAAGGAAAAACTGTCCCATGAGGAAGAATCCTTTAGCAGAACCAGGCTCAGGACAAGTGGCCATCTGCCTCGACCGGCTGGGTTTGAGAGGAACAGATACACAATGGCAGGTCAAGAATCACATGTTAAGATAGAAATAGTATCAAATGAAAACTGTTCAGTTTTAACAATTCATTTAGGAAAACGAGGTCAATTTGTCCTCTAGTAGTCTAAGCCTATAGCAGCATGACAAGCCAACCCTAACTATATCCATCCATCCATCCATTATCTTTACCCGCTTATTCCATTTTTTGGGTCACGGGGGTCGCTGGTGCCCATGTCCAGCAGTCACTGTGCGAGGGGTGGGGTACACCCTGGACGGGTCGCAAGTCCATCACAGGGACACATAGAGACAAACGAGACAAACAACCATTCACTCTCTCACTCACACCTAGGGACAATTTAGAGTTACCAATCAGCCTAACATGCATGTTTTTGGTCTGTGGGAGGAAACCGGAGTACCCGGAGAAAACCCACGCATGCACGGAGAGAACATGCAAACTCCACCCAGAAGGCCCCTGGACCGGGGTTTGAACCAAGGACCTGCTCGCTGAGAGGCAGCAGCTCTACCAGTTGCGCCACCGTGTCCTAACTATAGGATTTATCAAAAAGGACCATCTTAAGCCCAGTCTTAAAACTGGACAATGTGTCAGCCTCACGGACAGAAACTGGAAGTTGGTTCCACAAGAGAGGAGCCTGAGAACTGAAAGATCTTCCTCCCATCCTGGTCCTGGAAACTCTAGGAACCACGAGAAAGCCTTCAGTCAAGAACGAAGTGCTCTGTTAGGAAAATATGGAACAGTAAGATCTGTAATATAAGCTGGAGCTAGGTTGTTGAGAGCTTTGTAGGTTAGAAGTAAGATTTTTAATTCAATTCTGGACTTGACAAGGATCCAATGAAGAGAAGCTAAAACTGGAGATGTGATCTTTCCCAGTAACTCCAGTTAAGACTCTGGCAGCAGCATTTTGGATCAACTGAAGACTTTTTAAAGAAGTATTTGGACACCCAGATAATAAACCATTGCAATAGTCCAGTCTAGATGTGACAAATGCATGAACCAGTTTTTCTGCATCATTTTTAGATAAGATGTTTCTAATTTAATATTTCGCAGGTGGAAGAAGACGGTTCTAGTAACGTTTTGAACAAAGATCTCGTGTGGTCTTATTAGTGCTTAGAGTATGTGTTGCGGATGACTATCAGCTACTACCACAACAAACGTTAAGTCAATAAGCCATTTTGTATATTCATACTGCCCTGTGATGGACTTGAGACCTGTCCAGGGTGTACCCCGCCTCTCACACAGTGAGTGACCCCAACGACTTGTAAAAGAAGAAGCGGGTAAAAGATGATGGATGGATGGATGGATGGATGGATGGATGGATGGATGGATGGATGGATGGATGGATGCTGCCAATTTGTCAATGTGAAGGTCACTGCTATGTGGTCATTCAGGATAAAAAGCACAGAAGTAAACAAAAACATCAACAAGTTAAACTTCATATTTTACATTTGATTTATATTAATCAACATTATTTAGATTATTTAAGTGGAGATGTTTGATAATAATAAAAATTAAAAAGGGAATTCATTCTAAAAAATTAAATAAAAACATTTTGTATAATTTTTTTTACTGTTCCTCCGTGTTCTGGAATGATTACTTATCATTTAGCATTGAATCAAATTGATTCTTCCTATTTATCTTTAAAATGATCAATTTTGAGAAAGTATGTTGATTCTTGTGTCTTGAGAAGCCTTTTTTTAAATCTTTGACCTCTGACCCCATCACATGACATAATGTCACTACAATTTAACGATATATCTGTAAAACTGGCAAAGTTTGAGCCATTTTTGTGTTTTCTAGTTTTGATTAGCAACCAGCTTGAATCCAGTGGTTCATGAGATATTTTGCTAACAAACACAGATTGAGGAGTCCAAGGACAAAGCTTTTAAAACGATGTCACCCTTGCCCCCCTACTTGGTGGCGCCCCTGTGAAAATCCTTTGTCTTTTTGAAGAAAGCTGAATTTGTTTCCGCTCAGAGTCAGTCTTGTATTATGTTGATTACACATGAGACAAGTCAGCACTTCTGTCCCGTAGGTGTGAGTTTGCTGGTCCCGCCTGGCACGATCCCGCAGGGGAAGTTCTACGAGATGTACCTCATTATTAACAAGTGGGACAAAACAACGTGAGTGTCCTTCATCTTTATTCCTTTATTTCTCTCGCTCCCTTTGCAGCCACGGGCAGAGCCGACCTTTTTCTCACCTCAATCAGTAACGTCTCCGATGTGAGGCTTGCGGCTGTGAAACACTGTTTGAGAGCTTTTGTTGTCTTATCCACCCCCCACCCTCCTCGTTGTCAGAAACTTGAACGAATCCCACATTTTCCTGGCAATCGTCTTCTTTTTTAACGAACGCCGTGTGATATTTTGTTGCAAATGTGTGTGTTGATGTTTGCAGGTTGCCGTCTGAGGGCAGTCAGACTGTATTAAGTCCTGTGGTGAGCTGTGGTCCATCTGGGATGCTGCTGAACCGGCCTGTGGTCCTTACTCTGCCCCACTGTGCCCAGTTGGACACACCGACACCCGACTGGACCCTCATGCTCAAAACACAAACACACCAGGGTGCATGGGAGGTGAGAGAGTCATTTTTGAAGTTATATTCTTTCAGATACTTATTAAAAGTTAGTACCTTATCAGCTATGACATCTCTACAGTATAGAGAAAAGGGCAAACATTTTACCTAACAAGGCTCTGTTTTTTATGTACACAGTAGTCCCTCACTACTTCGCGGTTCATTTATCGCGGACTCGCTTCGCTCTATTGCCGTTTTTCAAAATAAGATTGGACATGACCCACAATTGGCTGATTGATGGACGATCGGCATGGAATTTTTATTTAAAATAAATTATTTTAAGTTATTTTGCACCTGCTGCACCTTTGTACAGCCCATACTCCAGGATAAACTTCCTGCTGCAGCTGATCAGCTGTTCTCTGTTACAGAACTGAGAAGTGGGCGTGGCCAGAAGCGCTTGCAGGTGGCAAAGAGCAGAGGAGGCAGGGAGCTGAAATCATGCCATGCTGTGCTCTTTTAGAGCGTTTAGAGTTTAGGAACGTTAAGAATATTGCAAGAGTGTGGGAAGGGTTTAAAACACTATATATA